CGTGCGTGCGTGCGTGCGTGCGTGCGTGCGTGCGTGCGTGCCTGTGTATTGTGATTGTGAGCTGCTTGTCAGGGTGAGGTATTCTCGATTCACTTCGGCGAAACATGAGCGGACAAGGACAAGGCTGATTTGGTGGCTGCAATCGCGGCGGCAGGTCCATTCGTGATTCGATCACGATTGTGACTGTCGATCTTGCCCAGGCACAAAGAAAGCCATCGTGAGCGAGTGAACCCTTTATGGCTCCATGCTGCTGCATGCAATTAGCCCGCACCTCTGAATCACTTCGAGGTCCGGATACTTTTTGTTTCACTCGGCCTCAAATCACAGACATCTATTCTAAAAGGATCCAGCCACGGCATGATACGGTGTTCGGCGACTGTGAATGAGTACAGGCACATATGATCACGAATGCGCTGATCCATACATTCAAGATTGTGATTCACGAGTAATCGTGATTCTTATTGAGCTACCATGCATGGCTCCGCGGGGCCGCGCGCACACCGCTCTGAGACCAGCAAGACCGGAGTCCGGCGAGGCACGACTGATGCACCTGACTGATGCACCTAGCTGATCCCGTCTTCTATCAGCGTCGGGCTTCAACAAATGCATATACGGTTGAGCCGTCAAGAAGATCAAAGCGCATTCACTCTCCCTCTGAGTTTCTTTTGTGAAATCGTGACCAGTTCTCTGAAGTCTCGAGTCCTTCATAGTTGCCCATCGTGAATCTGCTCGGCGATACATGACTTGACCATACAGGAGGAGGAGCGGTCAAGGTACGTCGCGCTCAGCGAGCGAGCGAGCGAGCGAGCGGCCATCACCCACCCACACAACGTCGACGCGCGTCGCGCCGAGCTTCTTGGCAAGGATACCTCCTAGCTCGCAAGCCACACGCGCGCAAATCACAGCTGCAGCAAGACGTACATACGTACGCTTGCGCGGCTCATCATTTAGAAGAAGCGCGAGCCCCACCTCATCGAGCCCTTCGTCCCATTGAGCTTTGGAAGAAGCGCGAGCGAGCCCTTTTGTCCTATTGAGCGACCCAGACGATCCAACTTCGGCCTTCTGCCCGTCATCAACAGGACCTTTGCCTCGCATCGCGTGACCAAAACTCGAGATGAGCGCGGATGTTCCTGTAAATGTATCACGTGACGTGATCACGGCCTACTTGACTCTCAAAATGTGGCACACGAAACTTCAAGTTGAGTTGTTCTCTCTTCCCTCGAGTCATTGAGCCTTGACCACAAATCTTCACCTTCACTCCCGGGCACGCGCCCGCTACAGCCCCCAAACACTCTCGCAGCGACATCACGCAACCTGCCCATTCCGCAAAGACTCAAAAATATGGTCGATTGACGTGCTGACAAATGACGTTTCGTACATTATGTGGAAGGTCAAGACAAGAGAGAGTCAAACCGCTAGTGGGGAGCCGCGAAGCAAGAGACGGCCACGCTCGCAACGGCATTCTTGACTCTAAAAGAAACCCGCACTGATTGGCGACGTGCACGTGCCTGTTCAAATCTTGGGGCCAGCGTTGCGCACTTCGGGAGAGACGTCCTCGGCGTACTTGGAGAAAGCTTCGTTGAACATGCCCGCCAGCTTCTTGACTTCGGCGTTGAAGCCATCCTTGGAAGGCCAGGCTTGAGAAGGGTCCAGCAACTTCGCGTCCTCGACGCCCTTGACGGCCTTGGGAATGTACAGGCCAAACGTGTCGAAGGGCACGAATTCTTCCTTGGCCAAAGATCCGTCATGGATGGCATTGACGATGGCACGGGTGACCTTGAGAGGGCATCTCTTTCCTTGTCCGAACTTGCCGCCAACCCATCCAGTGTTGATGAGCCACGCATCCGCCTTGTGCTTGGACATACGCTCGGCAAGCATGGCCGCGTATCTGCGAGGGTGCAGCACAATGAATGGCTGGCCATAGCAGGTGGAGAAGGTGGGGCTGGGCTCAGTGACACCCTGCTCGGTTCCGGGTGTCTTTGAGGTGTATCCAGCGATGAAATGGTACTGCGCCTGCTCGCTAGTAAGCTTGGAGACGGGCGGCAAGACACCGTAAGCGTCGCAGGTGAGCATGATGATGTTCTTGGGTGCGCTGTTGGAGATGCAAGGAATCTTGGCGTTGGGAATGAATTCGATAGGGTAAGCGCAACGAGTGTTCTCAGTGAGGTGAGAGTCGTCATAGTCCGGCTTTCTGGTGACCTTGTCGTAAGACACGTTCTCCAAAATGGAACCAAACTTGATGGCGTTGTAGATCTCAGGCTCCTTCTCAGCAGAGAGGTTGATGCACTTGGCGTAGCATCCACCCTCGATGTTGAACACACCAGCGTCGGACCACACGTGCTCGTCGTCTCCGATCAAGCTACGGTGAGCGTCGGCACTGAGGGTGGTCTTGCCAGTTCCGGAAAGACCGAAAAAGAGGGTGACGTCGCCGTTGGGTCCCTCGTTGGCGCTGGAGTGCAGAGAGAGCTGACCGAAGCGGACTGGTTGCAAGTAGTGCATGACACTGAAAATACCCTTCTTCATCTCTCCAGCGTACTCGGTACCGAGAATGACCATTTCGTGCCTCTTGAAGTTGATCTCGACCGAGGTGGAGGAGGTCATACCGGCAGTGAAACGGTTGGCAGGGAATTGACCAGCATTGTAGATGGTGAAGTCCGGCTCGCCGAAGTTCTCCAGCTCCTCAGCAGTGGGTCGAATCAGCATGTTGTGCATGAAGAGAGCGTGGTAGGCACGAGCGCAAATGACTCGGACCTTGATGCGGTACTTGGGATCCCAGCCTGCAAATCCATCAAAGACGTAGATGTCCTCGCGAGTGTTCAGATAGTCGATGGCACTGCCGCACAGAACGAGCCACCTAGAGTGAGCTTGCTGCGCAAGATGTCCCACCGAACCCAACCTTTCCCACGCGCGTGCAGCGCTACTCACCGCTCGCGGTTGATCTCGAAAGTGTGCTCGTCCATCTTGATGTTGACGGGTCCCCACCAGATCTCGTCCTTGCTGGTCTCCTCAAACACGATACGCTTGTCCTTGGGAGAGCGACCAGTCTTTTTTCCGGAGAAATTGATCAGCGCACCACTGTCGCTAATGACGGCACCCTCTTTTTGGATGGCCTCCTCGTACAGTTGCGCGACGGGAGCATTGCGCTTGAGATGGATCTGAGGTGGTGCCAAAGGTGCGACTGCGTTGAGCAAGACGTGTCTCGGAATATCTCGCTCGCGCGCTAGAACCAGGTGCAGTCCTGGCCGAGAGCCCGCTGATCTGCACTCACCTTGTCCATATCGAAGCCGGCGCTGGAGAAGAGTTTGAGGTCATCTTGCTTGTGAAGCATGGGGTAGTGGGGAGTAGCTCCGACCAGCTCATCGTGATGGTTTCCCGGGGAAGTCATGATGAAGGATGTTTGGGGGGTGCGAGTGACTTTTTGCGGGTTTGTGTGACTAAAAGAGCTCAACTCTGAGGGTTGAAACGGTCAGAATGATGAGGTGGAGAGAATGATAGTGGGGATGGGTAGTGCACAATGCGGTGTGATAAAATCGAGAGCAGGAGCACATCCGAGAATGGAAAGGTGCGGCCGCGCGCGCGTGTATGCGTGTGAGAGTTGAGTGCCGCCGTTCGGGTGAGAGCGGGGAAGCCGGGTACCGGGTGGAGGGTGAATTTTTCGGCGGCGCACACAGCCGCCATGCAGCCGCCCAGCATATGCAAGTGCATCGAGCGGGGCGATGCAGCACGTCGGCACATGCACATGCGCATGGGCGAGGAGGCCCAGCCCAGCAGGAGACATGCAAGCCGTACGAGCATCGGCAGTGGTGAAGAGCGAGGAGCGTGATCGAGGAAGGAGAACATCAAAAGTCACGGGTCGCCAATCGCGAGCGAGGATTCGTCGGAAGGGGCGCGCGCGTGGGGGTCGGGGGCGGGGAAGTCGGGCGGTCCAATCACGAATGGTGAATCGCCAACGGACGCGCGAATCAGCATCAGCAGGGCATTCGGAAACAAAAGGGAGCCGCCAGCCACGGGATGGGAGCAGGCAACAGTCACGAGTGCGGGTGCGGGTGCGGGGATGAGGGAGGGTGAAGATGAAGGGGTGGAGAGGTGGGCTGTATCAGCAAATTGCTTTGCCATGGACATTCGGCGCAGAAGCGGACAACTCACGCGAACGATCCAGTTTGTTTTTGTGTTGGGCCAGCGAAGGCGTCTATGTTGGGAGAAGATTCAGGAATTAGATGCGAGGCCAGAGCGAGGCTTTAGTCGTGAGAGAGAAGAGGGAGAAAAGGTTGGACTTGGAAGGTGCGGCATGGTCACGCTTGCTGCTCTCTCTACCTTTGTACCATTTCTCATTCTCGCAAAACCCCGACTACGTCAATCAGACCTGCGACATTTAGACTGCTCCGATACCCAAGGAGAGGAGCTCACTGCTCTCCGTACATGCTTGGGACAGCATCATGAGGCATGACACGGTGACGATGTCGGACATGTAAATGGCAGTCCTTCTCGAGGCATCGGGTAGACACGGGCACCACTGCGTAC